TGTTGGTCATGCACGCGGCGAGCTCGGCTGAGGTGGTCGCACCCGCATCCCCCTTCAGGGTGTCCAGGAAGATGGTGGCAGGTCTTCCCGGCTTCCGCCAGCCGTGGGATGGCTCCCAAAGAACGAGCTGGCTGGAAGGAAGCTCCCTATGGCGGCAACAGTGGCCAGCAATGCCAAGTCTCCTCCAGGTGATACGATCTGTGATGCGTGGCAGGTCATTGTAGAGTGTGATGTTAGAAACATGGTTCCGCCAGCTGCTGTCTTTGGCTGCAACTGTGTTAAATTAGGTGAGTTACTCTGAAGGGGGCAAATACTTATGCAACTGCTTCTCTTTTATCTTTGACATTAAAGAGTCTTTTTTGTTCATTCTAAAAGATGAACACTTAGAAGGGAGATGACTACCTTTTGAAGACATTGTAGCTGCAAGCACTGTGACACCAACAGTTGTAAGAGCTACCTGCAGTTATTTGGACTTCCTTTGTGAGCTGCAACACAACGTGGAAACTGGCACCAGAGTTGACAAAAACAAGGGTTTTATCTCAATACACAAATACCTTCAGTAACTACTGAGGACTACAACGAAAATGAGTGTGTAAAGAGGATGCAGACACACAAACACCAACAACACCTCAGGGTTCAGGCCTCTAGAGTTGGTTCAAAGTGTTCACGTGGTAGCAGGTCAGTCGGCTTGATGAGATCCACAGAGAGGAAAAAGACTTTAATAAATCGATGCACTGACTCTCATCATTCACTTCCTCTGATCTGGAGATGACAGTGGATGTCACGGTCAGGTATCTCACACTTGTGTGTCTATGAATTGCTGAAATCCTTTCTTTTCTGTCCGTTATGTTCTTTAATGTCTAACTGTTGATAATACTCATGGATGATAACTTCAATGCAACACATATAACCTTTGATGGTTATGTACAAGTTCAGAAATACAGATATCTTTATTTTTTAATGATGTTTACGCTCTATGTTTTAATAATTTGCAGTAATTCTACGATTGTGTACCTGATCTGGATTCACCGAAACCTCCACGAGCCGATGTACATTTTCATTGCAGCTTTGTCCACGAACTCTATTCTTTTCAGCAGTGTGATTTACCCCAAAATCCTTGTTGATGTTTTGTCAGAGAGACAGATCATACCTTACTCAGCCTGTCTGTTTCAATGGTTTTTATGTTATTCTTTAGGGCTTTCAGATTTCTTGATATTGGCAGCGATGGCTTACGACAGATACGTGTCTATATGCAAACCTCTGCAGCATCCACTCATCATGAAGAAATCCACCATCACTGCTTTGCTGCTTTCAGCTTGGCTTGTGCCTGCTTGTCACATGCTGATCACAGTAGCACTGAGTGCTGATAGAAAACTCTGTAGCTCCATCATGAAAGGGATGTACTGCAGCAATTCGATTTACAAACTCCACTGCGTGAGCTCGAGACTGCTGTCTGTGTTCGGTGTGATTACTTTGGTGAACAGCGTCATCTTTCCCGTCCTCTTCATACTGTTCACTTACACAAGGATAATTAAAATATCGTACAAAAGCAGTGGAGACGTCCGGAAGAAGGCTGCCGAGACTTGCGTTCCCCACCTGCTGATTTTAATCAGCTGCACGACTTTGGCTGTCTATGAGACCACCACAGTGAGAGTGAAGTCAGACGTTTCAAAAACTACACGTTTGAATTTACAGGCGGCGCTGTATCATCCTCTTCTCAATCCGATTATCTACGGACTGAAAATGAAAGAAATCTTTAAACATCTCAAGGCGATGATGTGCCCTGTCAAACCCAACTAATGTTTAAACACTAATGTCACATCTGTCATTTTATTTCAGTGAATGCTTTTTAGTTTTAACATGAATCATCAAGCTGACGTCTAATGAAGGGTGGCTTTTCTTGTCAGCATTATGCACATTCTCTTGCAAATCCTTGGAAACTGTTTAAGGTGAAGATTGTTTTCTATGAACATTTAAAGAATAACAAGACTCACAGTGTAATGTCATGTGACTGTGTTTGTTGTGCTGAGGGATAAAAACCCAGCTCAGTTATTGCAAACTTGTTTTTAAAAACACAAAGCTTTTCCCAGTCAAGATATTCATGCAGTATTTTTAAATTACTGTCGACACTTATTGCATTTATTTTGGACGTTAAAATGTAAATGTAGAACATGCACTGACTGTCAGTGTAGACAGGAACAAAGAAGACCTGCAGCATACAGCAGAACTGGGTACAATATCGTAGCAACAGCGTGCAATGTCACGTAGTTGTGAAACGATTTATAATTATACGTCGTTCTACACTGAACATTCGGTATTTGTTCTCATGTGACAGTTTAGATTCATTACGTTCAAAACCAATGCAGCTAAAGTCAGAACACCTTTCATGACTGAGATTTAAGTCTTTTATTTTGTCAGCACTGTCCACCTTTACTTCTAATGACAGATTCTTTCTAATCCCGTCCTCGTGGAGGACACCAGTGTTGCACACATTTCTGGAGAGATGCTCCGTCATTCTTCAACTTTTTTCTCAGCTGCTTTTTGCTGAAGAGGCTGTATTGGTCTACCTTTCTTTTTAAGGATAGGATTCAAGTCAGGCTTTTGAAAGTCTTGTTGGATTTTGTGTTTTGAATGGTTCTCATGTTGTGACGTTCCTCTTCTTCAAGCTTCCGCTGAATGGCAGTCATCTTGTCAGACAGCATTTTGGTATATTCACAGACATGTACAAATTTAGCATTCATGCAGCCCCATATCATCACACTTCCACCTCTGTGCTTCACTGTCAGGACTATGCCTTCACTGTGGTGATCCTGGACGGGTCCACACCAAACATACTGAAGCCCATCAGAGCCAGTCAAACTGATGTTGGTCTCATCCAACCCAAGAATATTAATCAGGCTTCTTTTCATGTCTTCTACCGAAGTCCACTCTGGCCGTTTTGTACTAAACAAGCAAGGGTGTTTCTCTTGGACGCCATCAATACAGGAAAATCTAAGTAAACATTTAATACTTTCATTTACTGACTTTTGGGTCTGAATTTTCAATATGGTCTTTTTATTGTTCCAAAAAGAAAAACTGTATGGTAAGCTTAAAAAAAAAATTCATGCTCTGTTTCTGCACCAAACACTGTGCCCAAAGAAATCTTTGTTTAGTTCATGTGTCCAGAACACATCATTCCAAATAGCCTTGTCTTTGCCTCACGTGACTGTTTACAACCTGACATCCACACTGACAACAGTACGAAATGTCCAAGCTCAAAAATATACACAACAATGCAAATATTTGCTTCAACATTTCTTGGCCTTTTTCATCTCAACGAGGTGATTTTGGTAGCCGTCCAGAAAATTCTGGTAACCATCTGGTTGTATCTTCGACGACCCTTCCTGACAGAATTCGTACACCTAAAGATCTAAGACATGTTTTCTCCTCACAGTCTACAGGTTCTTAATAGGGTTTGAGTCAGGACTTCAGGGAGACCAGTCTAAAGGTTTCATTCTGGCTTAATTTGGCCATTTCTTTACTCTTTTTGATGTGTGTTTTCTTTTGTTGTCTTGTTTGAACATCCAACTGTGTCCAAAACCCAACCTTATGGCTGATAGCTCCAGTTCCACTGGCAGCAGATCAGCCCCAGAGAATGATGCTGCCACCTCCCTGCTTGATGGTAGGTTTGGTGTTCTTGGGGCTAAAGACTTCACCTTCTCTTCTGCAATCATATTTCTGCTCATTGTGGTCAAATGGCTACATTTTGTTCCATCTGACTGCAGAACTTTTTTCCAAGAGGACTTTTCTTTGTCCATGTAATCAGCAGCAAGCTTTAAGGTGCCGTCTGTGGAGAAAGGACTTCCTTCTTGCACGAAAGCTTCACACATCTGACTGTGAACTCTGACACCTGTTGTTCCAGCAGCTTCTAACTGCTGCTGTTTGCTGATTCCTGGGTTACTCTTGACCATCAAGACCAATTGTTTCTCTGCACCAGGCGGTAGCTTGTGTTTTCTTCCTGGCAGTGACACAACTGTGTTTGAACAGATGATTTTGACAGCTGTAGCTGCTTTGGATAACTCCAAGGTACTTTCTTGACTTATTCAAGTCAATGATTCAGTTTGCTGAGCTCCTTAGACTTCTCCACTGTAGTGTTTGTGGCGAGTCTAATGAGTGGATCTAATGGACCTCAACTGAAGGAGATTTTAGGGAGCCAGCAGCTGTAGTCAATTGTAATCACTTATGAGAAGTTAATAGGCCATGCCACTAAAAACTTTAACACAGCTTTCTACGTCACCAAAACTGATCATTCAAGTTGCTGTATGGATATTTTTGACCCAGCAGATTCAGTCATGTCTAACCCAGAAGGCCTTTAATAAATCCATCAAAGAACCAAAATGTATGTTCGTTTATTGTGACAAAGATTCATTTTTTTTCCAAGGGCCATTGGAAACTCAGGACTGCTGAGACATACATAGTCTCTATAAGTGTACGTAAACTTTTGTTCACTACATATGTAGCTATGATTTCTTGTGTGAATAAATGCAGTAGTGACATTTTGTCAATGCTGAAGGCATGGTTGGCCTGACACGACATTTCAAATATATTTTTTGGGTCTGTACTGTTTCACACCACCAGCAATTACATTACAGCCTGTAATCACAAATGGCACCAAAGCGATCGATATTAATGACTACATCCTTTTTTAACGCACAGAGAGATATGCTCACACAAACACCATCAATACCTGTGGGTTCTGGTCTCCAGAGTTGGTTCAAAGTGGTAGCAGATCAGTTG